TGCCCCAGCACCCACAGAAGGCCCACAGGGCAGGGAGAGAGCAGTCGCGGCCCCAGGACATTGTGGGAACCGTGGCACTTTTGCCATGGGCCGCGTGGGGACGAGGGCCCTGGAAACAGGAAGATGAAGGGCAGGAGGGCTCCGCCTGCAGTCTCTGCGTCAGGGACAGGGACATGGCTTAGCAAGATGGATGACCTCGGGGAAGTCTGGCTTGGACACTCCCAACCAGGCACAGCCAAGCAGTACAGCCCAGGGTGCTTCTCAGAGAAGAGCAGTGGGAGCCGTGCTCTCCACTGCCTGGGCCCTTATAGCACTTGAGGGCACTCCGCCCATGTGGGCACAAGAGGCACCGGCCATCGGCCAAACAGCCAGCAGGTGTGGTGGTTGAGTCCTGCGCTCGGCACCTGCAGCAGGGCTCCTGAGTGGCCATTTTTGTAGGCACCAAATCCTAACACTTCTATATGAGAATTAGATCATTCAACTGCAGAGAGTACCACTCTCAGGAAGAAATGATTTAAATGAAATGGAAGCAGGTAGTGACCACAGCTTGACATTTTCTAAAGAACACCGTTCACACAGCAACAGGGGGGACATTTGAAATTCAAGAGTCAAACTGAGGTTTGGAAAAGGCTGCCGTCCCCAGGCAGAAGCCCCCACCCCTGGCAGTGCCTCCCCACACAGGGGACAAGGGGATGCAGTCCTGGGTGTCAGTACTGCCTGGGAATGGGAAGGTGCCACCTCACTAAAGAAGGAAGCTGTGTCTGTAGGAAGTGCGAAGAGCAGGGTGCACGTGTAGGGGAAGAAAGCGGCTCCCACGGCTCACACCAGACTCGAGGCCTGAAACAGGCCAGAAGCTGCAGAGTGTAAAAGTCAGCCCAGATGAGTGCTGACAATATAAAGATGAAGGGCTCTTTCTCACAGTGAAACAGGAGTGCAAAGACAGTGTCCGCTGAGGGCGAGCTTTACGCCACAATCACAGATTTCTGCGTGAAACTGATGGTGCTTTGCTGTCAGCAGTAAAACAAAACTATGTTCGTGCGCTTGTGTATGTGGGGATGCTTATGTGTATGTGTATACCTGCACGTATATGTGTGTGTATGCCATTATGTGTATGTGTGTGTATGCGTGTATACACACATATTCTCATATACACACTCGTGTTAGAAATCCAAGTTTTAGGACAGAAGCCTATACAAAATGAAAAGTAAAATCTTTCCCAATTTTGAATCCCCCTTCCCCCTTCTCAAAGTTAACCACAAATAGGTTTCATGAGCGCATCCTTTCAGAAAATTAGAGAGGGTTCCTGGAGCGCTCTCGGTGACTTAGAGCATAAAGCCAGTTCCCTAAGATCAGGGCTCCTTGTGAGCTCAGGACAGGCGTCCACGCTAAGCCAGCCCACGCTGCCGTCCCTGCCTGGGAGACGGCATAGCACCTGGGCCTCTGTGTCCTTACCTGTTCTTCCTGGGACAGAGGATGACAGTGACCAGGGGCGAGGACATGGGAAAATGACCCCTGGGCCTCTACTGGGCCAAAACAGCTGGCACCATCACACCCAGATCATCAGAAGGCGGCTGGGGGCTGAGGGCCTGGCGCTGTCTCCAAGGTCTCTGAGGCCGGCCTTCTCCACCCTCCCCAAGGGACAGGCACTCTCCTGCGTCTCCTCCATGGGCTGTGACTGCCTGGTGTTCCCACAGGGTATCTCCTTGGGCCACCCCACCCCTCCACACCCGCTGCACAACACTGGGGCTGAGCCATGAGCAGAGCCATTCTTACTGAATCCAGGCAGGCAGCACCCAGGGATCCAGTGGGCAGCCGGCGTAGCTCAGAGAAGCCTGAGAAAGCCCATCCCTGTGCATGTGTGCTGGGGGCACCAAGGGTCAGGAACACTCTGCAAAAGCGGCCATCTGCATGAGGAGCCCGGCGAGGTAGCAGGCACAGGACTCCCTGCTCCACAGTGGCCACACAGGACTTAGGAGTGAGGCTGAGAGGGCAGAGTCCTGCTCCTGAGTTTTTTTAAAACAAACCATAATTCAGGCATTTGTATAAAAATGTGGAGAAAAAGATGGCCCACTTTTGGGTAAATTCCATGCAGGGCCACCAGGCAGGGAGGGGCAGAATCCGTCCCTGAACTCAACCCTCACCCTAATCCTTTCTGTGGATTAGCCGGCGTGGGCAAGCGGGCACCCAGCAGCCTCCTCCGCTCTGAGCTAGCGACGCCCGTCCAAGGACTCAGCTCCAAGCTGCGTCAGGCTTTCCAGGAAGTAAGTTCTTGCCGACTCTGGCTCTGAGCTGCACAGACTTTGGAAATGGGGCAAATGCATCAGGACCAGGGTGGGAAATGCTCACAGCCACAGATTCCAAGGGGAGTTCCGTGAAAACCCTGGGTGACAGAAAACCACTTCGTGCCTTCAAAACAACACATTAATGTGTGACCATGAAGAACTTTAGCTGAATTCACCAAGACCCTACGCCATCCTGTTCACCGTCCTAAACTCTATGTCCTTGCTTTAGCCAGGGGATTACAACATTGCATGTATTACAGACCCTGACGGCTTTGGTACCTCTTTTCAGATCTTAACGTGCTGTTTTCTGTCCAAAGACGTACTTAAGCTCCTCACTAAATCTGTAGTTAAATGACAGATGGGCTGGCTGGAGAAGGAGGTGTCCCCACATGGCATTAATCCGAAGACACCCTGCAGCCCCTCCCAGGGGGCAAATGCTCACAGGTAAATGCAGGTACTCACTGGTTTATCTCAACTGGGAACTTAGCTGGGTTTCTGATGGTTCTCAAGTGTGTCAGCCACTACTGGACCAGTTTCTTTGGGGAAGAAAGATAGGCTATTTCACTCTGTGGAAACTTTACAAGAATATATCACATAAAAGTAAAAGCTTTGCAAAGCAATGCTTGGTGAAAAGCAGAATGTTTCTGCAGAGAGCTCTGAGAACATTTACAAACTACAGCCTTGAGCAGAAGCAAGTGGATGTACAAACACGCCAAACCACAGATGGGGCCTCTGACGTGGCAACAGGGCGCATACAAGGCCACCCTCCCTCCGAGAGGCCGAGACACCTAAAGCCAGGATCTCTGCCTGGCTTCAGCCCAAGGGAGAAAAGCTGCTTGAAGCTTCAATCTCCAATCTCCGGACCAGGAGTCTCCCGGTGAGCCCCTGCCCAAGAGCCACTGGGAGCAGCTCGCTGCTCTGAGGACTTGGGGAGGAAAGCAGGCCCAGGGGTTGGGCACTTCTGGCTCTGCCCTGACATCTGTACCCAAACCATGAGAGTCTCTGCCCAGCTTCTCACCAGGGCAGTGGGCGCACACTTTTAGACAAAACACAGCTCGCCCCTGTGCTCCTGCTGACCCGGGGCCGCAACTATGACAGGGATGCGGAAGTGGCCTCCGGGGACCTCCAGGGAGGAGGGGCTTGATGCTTCTCCCAGGGAGCCAGGAGGGACCAGGAAGGCAGGAAGAGAGAGGACTCCGGAGGCAGCCAAGACAGAGCTGGGGCAGCAGTGGGGCTGTGAAAGCCCTGGAAACCACAGCAGGCGTTGGGAGTTCATGGGGTACCCCCGGGGACTTCTCAGGAGCAGAGCGCAGGAGGAAGAAAGCCTGCTGGGCTGAGAGTGACTCAGGGAGAGAACCTGGTGGCTGGGTGGGGTGAGGATTGAAGAGGAGGAATGGATGAGGGGCACAGGATGAGCGGCCGTATCCCAAGCCCTACTTGGAGAAGCACAGCGCTCGGCAGGGGACGGCATGCGGCAGGCGGAGGCCCAGGCAGAGCAGTGGGCACAGGGGCCAGCGGGCAGAGGGGCCGGCTCCGGATACACACGGTGGCGGGGCCCAGGGCCTGGGAGCCAGGCTGGGGACGACCTCACCCTGTGTGTACGCGGGAGGGCGGCACCATCGGGCCCTCCTGCTCACCGTCCCCTTCCACGCCATGAGGACCAGCCCCATCAAGGGACTTTGAGCAAAAGCAGGCGTCCTGGGGAAGTGACAACCTCAAAGCCTCAAGAACTTTTCACTTTAGTGTTCTTTCCCATACTTTTTACGCATTCAAAAACCTCCGTCTTCCCGGAAATCGTATTCTCACAATTGGAAGTGTGCTCCCTGGAAACTGGACAGCCCCACAGGCAGCCGAAGCGGTGGTTGCTTGGAAGAATTGTTCTGGAGTCAAAAGGCCCTCTTGACAGTGGATCTGAGGCCACCGCAAGCCCAGCTGGCAGCCAGGTAGCGGGGACACCCAGGCTGGGCCAGCACGTCCCCGGAGGTTTCCCGCAGCAAGAGGCCCCCTCCTCGCGGCGCCGTCGGGACACCCCGACACCACTGTCCCATTGCAGGATCTCAGCAAACCGCTCCCTCCCACGTGGCAGCCCAGGTTGCGTAGTAAAGTTGATCCTGGTCACAGGCCAGACCAGACAAAGCATCCCTTACAACAGGAACGAAGCACGCACCCCAGAATGCGACGTGCAGCCAGAGAGCAGGGGCCCCGTGTGCCTACAGCGGACCCTACAGGGGCCCCAGGCCGCCTGCGCGCCAGCCCAGGCCCGCACCCGAGGCTCACCCAGCGCCGCGGTCCCCTCCTGCCAGCGGGCCGCGTCCAGGGGAGGCCGCTCCGGAGTCTCCGGGGGGCGCGCAGGGCCTGCCAGGGCGGGTGGGGCCCGGACCAGGGACAAGCGCGGGGGCCGAGGTCGGGGTCCGGGAGGCAGAGAAGGGGGGGTGGGCCCGGTTCCGGGTGCGGCGTCCTGGGGGAGGGGCGGGACGCGGGGACCCAGAGGACGGCGCTGAGGGTCCGGGACGTGCGGGCGGGGGGCGGGAAGCCGGCGCCGGGTCCGAGGCATCGGGTGCGGGCGCCGGGGCCGCGGGCCGCGGGGAAAGAGGCGCCGCCGCTCTCAGGGCCGCGCCCCGCCCGAGGCCCCCTCCCCGGCCCTCCCCGCCGCGCCTCCCGGCCCCGCACCGCTGGCGTCCGCGCCCGCTCCGGGGCCCGCGCGCCCGGGGCACCCACCTGGGCCTTCTGCAGGGCGCTGAGGCGCAGCTCGTGCACGAAGGGGTTCCGCCCGGGGGGCGCCAGCAGCCGAGCGTCGCCGGCCCCTGCGCTGGAGGCGGGGGCGGCCCGGGGGCCGCATCCCCGCAGCCTCATGGCCGCGCCGTCCCGCGTGGAGCGCAGTCGGGCTGCTGTGGCGCGGAGCGGGGCCGCGGCTGGCGGGGCGCGGGCCGAGGATGCCAGGCGGCTGGAGCGGGCCGGGCGCGCAGGCGCAGATGCTGACGTGGGCGGGGCGGGCGGGGGGCGGGGAAAGGGGCGGGGCGTCCCGAAGCCCCGCCTCCCCGCCGGCAGGGGCGGCGCCAGCCCGAGCTCCGCACCCTGGAAGCTCTTCTGGGGTCTGTGGGGTGCGGGGCGGGGCAGGGCTAGGAGCGCAGATCCCGGGGGCCGCAGAGTCGCTGGGGCTGAGGCCGCCTCCTGCTGCCGCCGGAACACAGGGACCCCTGGCGGGGCCTGCGCGGGGTGGAAGGGAGGTCCCCGGGGCCCGCGAGGCTGCCACGTCGCCCCCTTCCGCCGCTCGGCCCGCCTGCGCGCGGGGACGGAGGAAGGGGCAGGCAGGCGTCCAGCTCGGGCGCTGGGCGGGCCGGGCCCTGGGTGCGCAGCCCCGGGTGCCGAGCCCCAGGCTGTTCAGGCCAAGGCCCCCCGCTCTTCTTATTCCTCGGGCTGCTCGCTCGCACCGGCGACCCTGGAAGCTGCCCCGGGCTGGGGGAGGCTCTTCCAGTCCCACGTGACTCCCGCCCGGGTCCCCTCGACTTCAGGACCCCCAGACCTCAGGACCTCTCAGACCTCAGGACCTCTCAGACCTCAGGACCCCCCCCAGACCTCAGGACCCCACCCAGACCTCAGGACCTCTCAGACCTCAGGACCCCCCCCAGACCTCAGGACCCCCCAGACCCCAGACCCCCCAGACCTCAGGACCCCCCAGACCTCAGGACCCCTGAGACATCAGGACCCTCCCCTCCGACCTCAGGACACCCTAGACCGCAGAACCCCCGCGGACCTCAGGACCCCCTCTGACCTCAGGACTTCTGAGCCCTCAGGACCTGCAGGTGGAGGCCCAGAGGCCCAGCTCTGGGGTCAGCACATGAGGGGGCACAGCTGGTAGGGTGGTGAGACAGGGCCAAAGGCTGTGCATAGCCGGGGGCAGGACTGGGGCACGCTCTTCCACACCAAGCAGAGCCCAAGGAGGCCCCAGAGAGCAGCCGAGGAGCCAAGGACCCCCATAGGTAATGAGTCCACGGAGTCCCCCGTCCAGGACAGAGCTGGGAAGGCCAGCCAGTGGTAGCAGCAGGCGGTGGGGACCACCCTGCAGGGTGCTGTGGAGTGCACACGAATCACAGAGGCTCTTTCCCATCTACCCGAGAAAAGAGGGAGGGTAGGAAGAGGAAGATGGAGGCTTGGCGGGAGGCTGGGATCCAGGGCAGCTGCTCAAGGAAGGGCCCAGGACGTGTTCCCGGGTGGAAGGCAACAGGGCAGCCCCACAGGAGACGTGGAAAACCCCCGTCTCAGGAAGGAGCCAGCACTGGGGAAGGAAGGGCCTGGAGGCTGGTGTGGGGACTCCTTTTCTGCCGCAGCTGGAGAGGGTAGGATGGCCCACAGGGCGTGTGCCCAGGGGTGGGGGCTGGGACCCTCGTGTGCGGGGAGGCAGTTTTCTCCTGGGGACGGCGAGGGGTGGGGAGGAGGGGCTGGTTATGGGGAAATCAGTGCAGGCTTGGAGGAGCAGCGAGGAGGCTCCTCGGCCCACACTGCCCCTTCAGGCGTAGGCTTTGGTTTTTGTATGTAATGGAACGTACTTGAGACCTGGAGGGTTCTGGAGGCTTGATTAAGAGAAGTTGGTCTTGGGCAAGGAGGTAGGAGCAGTTTTCTCTCTGCAGCAGGGAAAAAATTAGTTTATAAGGGCCCTCTAACTGCAAAAGGAGTCCCCCTGCGGTCCTCAGGAACCTCCTGGAAGCCCCGCAGCTCCCTGGGGCTGCTAACCACGTCTCTGAGGTTTCTTGCTCTGCTTTTGTTTCTGTTTTAAGGGTGTAGATTCACAGAGAATTGTTTCCTATACTCCAGGCGCATTGAGAACACAAGGCACCTGCTTGTTGAGGTGAGGCTGGGTGTTTTGTTTCGTTTGTTTAATTTTTGAATTTTGGACTTACCTCTAGGATAGAAAGAGATGTTCTTCATTTTCTTCTAACATCTTTTTTCAGTTCTGCCTTTTATGGTTGTATTTTAATCCATTTGAAGATTTTTTTCTCTGCGTGGAGACCCAATATTCTCAACACCACTTAATCGCTGACTCCCTCTTGTGGGTCCACTTCCAGCATGAACAGAGGGTTCCTGAAGCTCCTTCTGGCCGCCCCCTCTCACCCACTGGGCTGTGCTCATTTACTCCCGCAGTGGCGCAGGCCTATTTCAGTGGCTACGCCTTCCGAACCGTGCGCCTTGGGTATCACAGAGCGGGTTCCTTCCTATTGGCGCTTCTTCCCAAGAATTGTAGTAGCAATTCGGAGAATTTTATTTTTCCTTCCAAATTTTGGAAGCAAATTTTCCCAGTTGCTGAAAATTCCCACTGACAGTGTCCTTTGGAATCACATTAATTGCACAGGGCACTTCGGTAAGAATGTTACTTCTTTCTTATGGTTCATTCTCCCTGTTCCGTAAGAATGTTACTTTAGGAAGAGCCGGCTGGCCCTGGGAGAGGCAGCTTCTTTGGGGCAAGCAAGGCTCCAAGGCTTCAAAGCATTAGAAAATACAAAAAAACGTTTTTAAATGAATGATGTGGAATGAATACTTCACAATTTCGACAATGAGTTTTCACCAACGTGGCTGTGTTACCATGTATTCAGATGTTCTTTCATCCCTTTTGATAGCATTTAAAAATTTTCTATATGAAGATTCTGTATTTTTTGTTAAGTTAATCCTACATGCTTCATACTTCTACAGTGGTGTAATAATCTTTTCAAACATTGCTCTTGGGCCCGGTGCAGTGACTCATGCCTGTGATCTCAGCACTTTGGGAGGCCGAAGTGGGTGAATCAGCTGAGCTCAGTAGCTCAAGACTAGCCTGGCCAACATTGTGAAACCCCGTCTCTACTAAAAATATGACAATTAGCCAGGTGTGGTGGTGCACACCTGTAATCCCAGCTACTCTGGAGGCTGAGACAGGAGGATTGCTTGAACCCAGGTGACAGAGGTTGCAGAGAGCTGAGATCGTGCTACTGCACTCCAGCCTGGGCAAGACAGAGTGAGACTCTGTCTCAGAAAAAGATTACTCTTGACCCTTGTGTATGGATTATATGGAGAACCACTATTGATTGTGTTGGGCTTGTAGAGGTTTTATGAAGACAGACCCCAGGGCACAAGAGGGCACGTGGATGTTCCAGCCTGGGAGCACATGGCCCCAGCAGGAGGGACTCTGTCATGTACAGTGGATGAACTTCCTAGGCAACCCACAGAATCACAACAAGCAGAAAATTGTGGTGGTTTTCAGTCACCACAGACTGAGATGGTTTGTTAAGCAGTGATACTGTCTTTCAAAGAGCAGATACTGTAAATTTTGATGAAGTGCAATTTATCAGTGTTGTCTTTCTTTTTTTTCTCTTTCTTTCTTCCTTCCTTCCTTCTTTTTCTTTCTTTCTCTCTCTCTTTCTCTCTTCTCCTCTCTCTTTCTCTTCTTCTCTCCTTCTCTCTTTCTCTCTTTCTCTTTTTTTCTTGTTTTGAGACCGAGTCTCACTCTGTCACCCAGGCTGAAATGTGGTGGCAGGATCTCGGCTCACTGCAGCCTCTGCCTCCCGGGTTCAAGCGATTCTCCTGCCTCAGCCTCCTGAGTAGCTGGGATTATGGGTGCACACTACCACACCCAGCTAATTTTT